ACAATAAATCAAAAAATCAGCCAGGCGTGGTAGTGCATGCCTGTAATTCTGGCTACTTGGAAGGCTGAGGTGGAAGGATCGCCGGAGCCCAGCAGGTCGAGGCTGCGGTGGCCGGGAGCGGCCGCTGCACTCCACTCTGGGCAACTGAGTGAGACTCCAACTCAAAAAACAAAAAAACAAAAAAATACATATCGTGTAAAAAGTGTCTTCCCAGAGATAACTACCATAAAAGGTTTAATGTGCCTTCTAAACTTTTTCTATGCCTATATGATACACACATAAGCCTCTATACTTACAGATCTAAGTACATTTTAAAATAAACTTTTTATTTTATTTTATTTTTCAGTCAGGGTCTCACTCTGCTGCCCGGGAAGGATATGATCATGGCTCAATGCAGCGATCCTCCTGCTTCAACCTCCCAAGTAGCTGGAACTACAGGTGTGTGCCACCACACCCAGCTAAGTTTTAAATTTTTTGTAGAGACAAGATCTTGCTATGTTTCCCAGGCTAGTCTCGCATTCATGGGCTCAAGCGATCTTCCTGTCTTGGCCTCCCGAAGTGCTGTGACGAGAGGCGAGAACTACTGTGCTGGCCAAACTTTTTGTATTAGAATAGTTTTACGTTTATAAAAAATTGCAAAGGTGGTCCAGAGAGTTCTTCTTTACTTCACACCCAGTTTCCTCTATTATTATCTTCTTACATTAGTATGGTACATTTGTCATGATTCATGAACTGACACTGGTACATTATTATTAAATAAAGTTCATACTTGCAGCCAGACTCGGTGGCTCAGCTTGTCATCCCAGCACTTTGGGAGGCCAAGGCGAGTGGATTGCCTGAGCCTGCGGGTTCGATACCAGCCCGGACAACTTGGCGATACCTCATCTCTATAATCAATCAAAAACAGCCAGGCGTGGTAGCGCATGTCTGTAGTTCCAGCTACTTGGAAGGCTGAGGTAGAAGGATCACGGGAGCCCAGCAGGTTGACACTGGGGTGGCCGTGAGTGTGCATGCCACTCCACTCCAGCCTGGGCGAAAGAGTGAGACTCTGACTCAAAAAAAGTTCATACTTTATTCTGATTTCCTTTCAGATGCCCCTTTTCTGTTCCAGCATCTCATTCATGCCAACACACTACATTTAGTCATCGTGTCTCCTTAGGGTCTTCTTGGCTGTGACCGTGTTAAATATTTTGGTGATCGCTTCACTTTTGCAATATATGTGGCAACCTTTTCCCCCACATCACTCTGTGTTTGAACACCCTTCCAGGCTAGTGTGTGAGGCCTCCCACACCTTCTTAAGTCGCCGCAGTGTCCTGTTGAATGGCCGTACCCCATCATTTGACACTGCCCTTGGCAGGGAACCCCTGTCTGGAGGTGTCCCTGGGTCTAGGTGCTGTCTAGTGAATTAGACGCTTCCGCTCTCTTGGAATTTTGACACCCTGGGAGGCAGAGAACACAGATGCAAGTGAAAGGACAGCACTGGGAGAAAAGGAACCAGGGGACCTGGGTGGCCTGTGGCAATGCTGTCCTGGCCACGCCCCTCCGCCCCACACCCTGTGGTTGGCTCTGAGTAGATGACGGTTTGCATCTGTGGTCGAAGCCCTTTCCCCTAAAAGGGCTGGGCTTGCTCCAGGTGGCCCTGCCAAAGGAAAGAGAGCTTGGTGGCAGTGTGAGCCATCCAGATGCGGGACCAGTGCCTGGCATGCAGCACATTCCCTGTCGGTGGCTATTTCTAGCAGCGGCTTGGTGGACATCTGTCAGGGTGCTTGAGTAGAGGGTTGTATGAACCTGGGAAAGAAATTTCTGATGCGCATCCATGCAGCTGGGAGAGATCTGAAAACAGACTTAGCCCACGGTCCCTTGCCTCTTCTCCTGGCCCCTAGGGGGACAGCCAATTCCCGGGCAAGGAAGAGAAAGCTTCCAGGTCCTTCCCGTTGCCTCTGTCACCTCGGAAGGGCCAGTACATATATATTTTGAAACAACTTGTTTACGTGTCAATGTCGCCTCAGGTTTGGTTCTCTGTGGATGTCGCTTGGAACGGGGCACAGCCTCATTCAGTTCCCCACGTAGATAGTTACCGTCACTTTCTCAAGTCCCAAGTTCAGCCGTGACCTTTTCCCTCTGACTTCTAGTTTACGCAGGCCCCGACCTCAGAATTCTAGGGCTGTTCTTTCCCCGATGAGAGATGACAAACTTATAGGACTGACCCTCTCGACTTGGGGCTTAAACAAGCCAAAGAGAGGCGGGATAAGACAGCTCTCTCTGTCTCATCCCACAAAGCTTCACGGCAGGCTTTCTGTACTGCAAAATGGAATACATCATGTGTCAGCAGGAGCCTAGGAACCAGGATCCCTTCCTCCCAAGCAGCTTTGTGAGGTTGGCAGGACAGCGGGTGAACCATGCCTGGGCAGAGGCACAGGCCTCCGAGAGCCTCGCTGGAGACACGCCCTGCTGGCTTTTCTTACCCAACAGGGACTCTCTGTCAGGTCCCAGCAGGTATCTGAGACAGACACACTCAGGCCACACTGTCCTCTCCCAGTACTTCAGAGAGGATGGACGACTTTGTCCTGAGGCTGTGGGGGTGCAGGACACCTGCACCCACTGACCTGCGGCTGGACCTGGGCTTCCCCTCCCCTCCAGAACTCAGATCGTGTTTAGGAGCGGGCAGATGGGCTTGCTGACAGCTGAGAGCGCTTTGCAAAGCGTAATTGCTTAATCATAAATTGACATTAGAAGGTCACCGGGGGCCACCACTGTGTTTTAAGAAACTTGTCTGCGGGGAGAGGGCAGGAGCGACTTGGGCAGCGCGGAGTGGGGAAGGGGAGGGCTTCCTGGGGGATTTCAATGATACCGAAACCCGGATGTGGAATAGGAGAAAAAATAGCAACTTTGCTCACAGGGAGTCTTGACTCTCCCCAGTGTGGATCTCATTGACCTAAATCAGGTCTCCGCTCCTATTTGCTGGGCCCTATTTTAGGAGAGTCTTATAAATACACAGGGGCGGAAATGCCTGGGTGGGGGGTGGCGAGAGGATGCGGTTCCACTCCAGGACAGGATCTGACTCAAGTCACACTTCCCTCCTGGATCCCAGGCTGTCGGGAGGGAGGCCTCCAGAGGCGGCTTGTGGAAGGAGGTGCTGAGCGCGGAGCTCGGTGTGGCCCAGAGAAGGTCCTGCCAGCCCTGTGGATGTGTGTCCCGGCCCGGTGCCCTGCGTGGCAGGACAGGGACGTGTGCAGGGCTGGGTGGGAGCAGCGAGAAGACACCGGCACACCTCTGTTCCACACACAGCCTGGTTTCATCCCTGGCTGCATTGCCTTGACAGTGTCCATGCATCTGTCAGGCCTCCCCTCCCTAGACATACCCGAATCTTCCCCTGAATCCTCTTTTGACGTACCTGTGTTCCCTTCCTGGGCCCAGTGAGTTCAGTCCATGGTTTTTTGTTTTTTTGAGTCCGTGGCATGGTCACGGCTACCACAACCTCGACCTGCTGGGCTCAGGCCATCCTCCCACCTCAGCCTTTCAGGTTGCTGGAAACACAGGCGCGCGCCACCACGCCCAGCTAATTTTTTTGTTTATTGTAGAGACAGGTCTCGCCGAGTTGCCCAGGCTGATCTCGAACCCCTGGGCTCCTCTCACCTCAGCCTCCCCAAGTGCCGGGATTAAAGGCACGAGCCACCGCGTCTCAGTCCATGCTTACTGAACTGAACATTCATCGGTCTCGGACCCTGGTGAAATAATCTAGGCCATTCCTTTGATTTTTTTCAGGCAAGATGAGTGATGGGCCCCGGTTGGCTAAGCTAGTTAGCTGCATGTCGTCTCCAGGGCCTCCGACGCAAAGCAGGTATCCACAGGGATGGGGGCCAGACGAGGCCCTGGGGTACAGCTGTGCGGGGCTCAGCTGTGCCCCGAGCAGGCAAGGGCGCTCGGAAGATTTTGCACATGATGTCGATCGAGCCTTTGAAGAAGTGGGAATTCTACCCATGCTTGCCCAGATGCCGAGCGGGTTGCTGCTGGCTCTGTAAGCAATGGAAATAAGAAGGCTATTGTGTCAACTCTGAGAGGTTGGTGTCTTCCTTGGGGGAGGAGAGGACACGTTGGAGGGGCTCACAGCCCCCCCTCCCCGATCCTCTTCCTGCCCTGCTGTGATGGGAGACACACTTGGGGAGGGGCTGGGAAGGAGAGGAGGCTGGGCGGGGAGGGAGACAGGCCCTTTCAAGGCAGGCCAGACTCTTTTGTGAGCTGTTTACCCCGCCTCATGCCCAAGGGTGCAGTGTGAGTCATTTAATCTAATTGGTTTAATAAGTAAACGATCTGGGTACAAAGCGGGGGAGGGGGGCTGGGGAGGGGAGGGAGAGGCAGTGTATCCTGCAAACCCTAGAGTCAGCTTTGAAAAGAAACCTGTTGCCAGCTCTCTAGGGATGGCGATGATTAGACTGGGAGTGGGGAGGGAGATGGAGAGACGTCCACGTGGAAAGAAAAGTAGATCACCAAAGTACAGGCAAACAGAGAGTTAATAGAGCATACAGAGAAAAAAAAAGAAAAAGAAAAAGAAAAGTAGAGGCCTTAGGTGGGCCAGCTGGAGATTCTCAAAGCCTATCTTTTTTTTTTTTTTAAATCATTGTCTCACTCTGTCTCCCAGGCTGGAGTGCAGTGCCATGATCACAGCTCACTGCAGCCTTGACCTCTCGGACTCAGACGATCCTTCCGGCTCAGCCTCCCGGGTAGCTGGGACTACAGGTGCACACCACCACGCCCAACTAATTTTTTTGATTTTCTGTTTCTTTGTAGAGACGAGGTCTTGCTATAGGTTGTCCAGGCTGGTCTCAAACTCCTGGCCTCAAGCCACCCTCCCACCTCGGCCTCCCAAAGTGTTGCGATGGCAGGTGTGAGCCACTGCACGTGGCCGTGAGTGGCTTAACGCTTGCTCACCTGGGCTGTTGGCAGGCTGCTGTTGCCATTTACAGGATGCAGAAGAGGTTTGGGAGGAAAAAATCAAGAGTTTGGTTGAGTCTGAGATGCCTCTCTGATATCCAAGGCGGGGAGTAAGGTAGACACACCGATAGGGAGTTCAGTGAGCCATCAGGGCTGAGCCCGGGATGTCACCCACATGCAGGGGTGTTCAAAACGACCTGCTGAGATCAGGAAGGCGGGCGCCTGGACGGGAAAGAGGATAGTCCAGGGCCTGTGCCCTGGTGAGTCATCCAGTGTCTAAAGGTAGGACAAGTGTGGGGCATTTAGCAAAAGGACGGAGGAGTGACCGGTGGGAGAAGACTGGGGATTACAGGGCGTCATAACTTTCTGCTTGATACCCCCCTGTGCTATGTGATTTAGGGGAGGGTCACCTGCATATGCTACTTTTTTTTTTTTGAGTTGGAGTCTCACTCCTTCGCCCAGACTGGAGTGCAGTGGCCACTCCCGGC